TTTAGGTGATCAATCAGAAACATTAATCACAAATTATTCAAGCAAGCATTCAACCTTAATATTAAATTTATATATTTTTATTAGAATAACTACAAATTTCATATATAAACAGAACCAATTTATCATGAAGGAGACGATTTATATCATCCAAATGTTGAAAAATAATTGATTCTTAAGGAAAAATATTATTTTCCATCATTGAATGAAGCAATTGAAATGTATCGGAAGTATGGGAAAGCTGCTGGCTTTGGAATTAGAATGGGAACTTCAACTTATTATGGAGATTATACTCTGCGAAAAAAACATATAAGGTGCAACAAGTATGGTCAACCAAGAAAAAAAAGTGTTGACACATTGACATCAAGAGGTCTGAAAAAGAAAGAAAGAAAAAGTTATCATAAGGTAACAGGATGCATGGCAATGATAGGTTTTCACAGAGATCATAAAAGTAATACTTTTACAGTATACAAATTTCAAGCAGTTTATAATCATCCACTAAATGATTTTGATAAACAAAGCATTTGTAGTAAAAGCCATAAGCTGACAATTTGTGATCAAGAACTTATTGTGAAAGCTTCAACTTTATACATTGGAGCTACAAAAGCACACAAGTTACAAGCAAGTCTAAAAGGAGGATACGATAACGTAACTACATCCAAGATTGATTACAAATTTTTTTGGAGAGATTACATGAATATAGTTGGACCTAATGATGCTCAATGTGTGTGGATCAGTTGCAAATTCGAAGAGATAATTATCCAAATCTCCACTTTGAATATAAGCTAAATGATAAAGTACTAAATGTTATGTTTTGGGTAGATGAAACTGCTAAAGAAAATTACTCTAAGTTTTATGATGTGATTTCAATGGATGCAACTTACATAACCAACAGGTACATTTCAATATACTATTCATATATATATTAAAAAATAATTTATATGATATAAGATACGTTACAGGTACAATATGATTTTTGTTCCTTTCACTGCCATTAACAACCATGACAAGACAATTAATGTTGGGGCTGGACTCTTATCGGATGAAACAATAGAGTTACATACATGGTTGTTAAGAGCTTTTCTTAAAGCACATGGAAAAATTCCTTCCATGATTTTGTCTGATATGGATCCGGCTTTACGCACATCCATTTCAAAAGAGTTTCGGGGATGTAGACACAGGTTATGTATGTAGCACATCATGAGCAAAATACTTGCCAAACTATTATTTACTTATTAACTATGTAGTTAATAGAATTTTTAAATTTAACATTGTATACTAACAACTTAATAATTGGAATTGCATATTTGTTCAGATGTAGTTAAAAATACAGATTTCAAGAAACAATTACATAAAATTGTTTGGAACATACTCTTGAACCAGCAGAATTTGAGAGTAAGTGGAACTTAATGTTGGACAAATTCAAATTAAGAGAAAATAAATGGTTGGATGACATGTATAACAAGAGAGACAAATGGATTCCTTCTTACTTTAAAGATATACCTATGTGTGGTCTTATGAAGACAACATCACGATCTGAAAGTTCAAATTCTTTCTTCAATGTTTTCTCTAGCCCATCCAATTTACTTGTGAATTTCATGTTTAACTTTGACATTGCTATTGCAAAGCAACGTCATGAACAACAAAGATTGGATATAGCTTCAAGAGATGGTACTCCTCATATGATTTATGCAAATTATCCATTGAAGATTGAAAAACATGCATCCACTATTTATACTAGGAAGGCATTCATTAAAGTACAAAAGGAGATCAAAAAAACATTCACTTTATGTTTCCAAAAGACATCCTTAATTGTGAATGAAAGTCAAGAATGCACAATAGTTTACAAGAACCACAAAAATGGAGAAAGGCCCCATTTCAAGGTTTAAAATTATTTTAAATTATATTTATTTTATATTTCTATTTTTAAAATTTTTTATTATAAATGAATTTTAATAAAAAAACTTATAATATTGAAGGTGTTTTTTAATGAAGGAGATATGACCATAAACAGTTCATGTAAGAATTTCCAGTTTTATGGAATTCTTTGTTGTCATTGTTTTAGAGTTCTCTTAGACAATGACATTTTCAATATACTGGAAAAATACATTCTTGATCGATGGAGAAAAAACATTGTGGATGTTACTTATCAAAGGATATTGCATAGATAGGGAGTGGGCAACACTGAAACTTCAAATCTTTTGCATGGGGCGTCATATTTTTATGAGAAATGTGTTGATTCGGTGGCTCATGATCTCGGGAAATTACAAGAACTGGTACAAAGTTTGAAGACATTAAGCATTGAGTGTGAAAAGAATGTGGTGACTAAACCAAATACAAATCCAATAAAATAAATTGTTGAAAATGTTGTTGGACTACACATTCCAAATGAAATTGACATTGAGCCACCTAGCGGGATAAGAACTAAAGGTTCCGGAAAGAGAAATAGAATGCGAAGCTCTGCAGAAAAAGCAATTGAAAAATCTCTTAAGGTTAAACGAAAATGCACAAGATATAATGAATTTGTCAATCATGATAAAAGAAACTGCCCCATCAATCCATCCAAATTGCTTATGCATTTGAAAAAACATCAGTAGAAAACTTTATATTATGATTTTCTTATGTAATTTTATGGTAAATCTTTGCAGATATTTGTTTAATCATACAATTTTAGTTTCATATATTTGAATGTGTTACAATGTTTGATTATTATGTTATCAAAAAAATGTTTATGTTAGACAAGGACAATTATACCCTTCAATCAAAATACAAAATGTTTTTCTTATCTAAAACAAAATCTGAAAATAAAAAAAAAAAAAGTTTTGTATAATAAAATAAAAGGTTTAACATTTGTGTTGTGATAGATAAAATTTAAGGATTTAATGCAGGAATAATATGTACAAACTTGATTTCCTTTAAAGGGATTTATACATAAATTAAAGAAAATCAATGGATGATTTGAAAAATTAACTTTAATTAGATAATTTATAAAAATGTATAAATCTTGAAAAAAAAAGCAAACAAAATAACAATGCAGTTGCAAAATGGACCAAAATGCCCTTAATACAATTATTGTACTCATACACTATCAAACGAACAGAAAAACATACAAAATAATCAAAAATGAATAAAAAAGAGATGTAGGGGGAAAATGTAGAAAATTACACTTTTTAAAGTAATCTATAAATTACATATCAAAAAGACAAAACAAAAAATAACAAAATAAACAAAAATTAATGTGTTACAATGTTTTGATTATTGTGTTATCAAAATGATGTTTCTGTTACAAAAAGACAATTATGCCCTTCAATCAAAATACAAAATGTTTTCTTATCAAAAACAAAATCTGAAAAAAAAAAGTTTCATATAATAAAATAAAAGGTTTAACATGTGTGCTGTGATGTATAACCGATAGATAGATAAATTTGTAGTACTTCATTTTTAAGAATTTAATGCAATATGTACAAACTTGAATTTTTTATACCTTTATGTTGTAAAAAAAGATCATTATCCTTTTAATCTATAGAATTATAAAATAATAAAAATAATTCAACTTTGCCCATGTAGGGGCTAAATAACCAAATTGAAAAGAATATTGAATTTTAATTTCATTTAAAGGGATTTATACATAAATTAAAGAAAATCAATGGATGATTTGAAAAATAAACTTTATTTAAATAATTTATGAAAATGTATAAATCTTGCAAAAAAAAAAAAAAAGCAAACAAAAATTACAAAAAATGAAAGAAATTGAAAAAATTGATGTTGTAAGAGTTTTCCAATATAAAATGACAATGTAGTTGCATAATGGACCAAAATGCCCTTAATACAAGTATTGTACTCATTCACTATCAAACTGTAAAAAAATGCAAAATAAAAATAAATGAATAAAAAGTGATGCATGGGCAAAATGGAGAAAATTGCACTTTTTAAAGGAAATCTATAAATTAGATATTAAAAGGACAAAAATAAATTACAAAACAAACAAAAATGAATAAAAATAAATTGAAAAAAAAAAAACTAAATATTCGAATATCTTAAATACATGATTAAAAAAAGGGCAAAATTTCTAAATTTCACTTATTTTATTAATTTTATATTAAATTGATGATTTTGTCCTTTTATAATAAATTAATTCACTTTTAAATGGATTTTCACACAATATAAAAAGATTGGTGCGTGAGAAAAATGGACAGAATTGCCCGTCTTTCGAATACTAATATATCCATCAATACAATTTTTTTTAACATACTATATTTTAATAAATTAATTAATAAAAATATTAATCATAAATAAATATATGGTTAGTTATAATATAAAAAGTGTCATTGTAATTAGAATATTATCTAACAATTGAAGGATACCAAAATATATTAATTACTGATTACATTTCCAACATTATACATTGTATCGACTAACCGTCATTATTAGAGATAAAATAAAAATATTCATTGAAAAATAATAAAATATCTTCTATTTGAAAGATTCTAATGATTATCTACTATAAAGTAAGTATTATCTAAGTCTCCATAACCGCCAATATCAGAAACAGTAAATGTGATTGACAACCCAAAACACCTTTTCAAAAACTACAATTATTTCTTTTGACTACAAATACTTCTTATATATCCATTTCTTTTGACTACAAATACTTCTTATATATCGAGTACATCCACATTCTCTTCCGTTATCAAAAAACTGAAGAGTTATAAGATTTTCATTCGATGGATTTTAATGTTGAAAACTGGGTTTTCAAAGATTCATCAAAGTATATACTTCCAGAAGAGATGTATGGTATGATTCTCTTTATATAATATGATATTTATGTTTTATCTAATTTTTATTTTTATTCAATCAGAAACTGAAAACAAATGTTACTTCTCAATGAAAATCTATCATGGAGGACATTTTTTCAACAATCCAAAAAGATCTTACGAAGGAGGTATTATTGACTATGTTGATTTGATCAACATAAATAATTTCTCTATTCAAATTTTCTAGAAATGATCTCCTCTTTAGGCTACGAATTCCACAACACATTCTGCGACTCGTTGGTTAACTATGCTCCTTTAGATTATGGGTTAAACAAACTTCAATATGTTCTTGATATTTCCGATTTTGTGGAAAAGGTGAAAAATGATGGATTGTTTTTTGTTCAAGAAATTTATATTGAACATTTTGTTAAAACTGTTTCGATCTACTTCCCAAATGCTTTGAACATTGCAACCAACAGTTATCTGTGTACTCTTCTGTACAAGTTGGTTGTTTCAAATCCAAATATGAATGTATGGGAAGCTAGAATCAACATGTTTGACAACTTCAAGATATGGATCGATGTGTACAAACTTCATGAAAAGCTTTAGAGTACACAAAGCACCAAGTGAAGCTTCTTAAGAACTAGAAGGAAACAAGAAAGTCGATGAAGCAAACAGGGGAAAATGTGGCTTTTGGGTTTTTGAACCTAGATTGTAGTTGTATGCAGAAAATTGATGTGTTATGATTTTAGAATGGAAGAACTTTTTGTAATTTGATTATGTTTGCTACTTTCTAATATGTTTATAAATAAGCCATGTGTCATATGTTTATTCAATATATCTTTTAAGAAAAATAAGTATTTTTTTATATATATTAAGTGTATGAATAATCGAAAATTAACCAAATGTAATGCACCTTTTTAATAAAGAATAAAAACAATACACCTGCAATAGGGTCAAAATGGACAAAATTGACCTTTATGTCAAAATGGACAAAATTGATTTTTATGCAAAATAGACAATGTACTTTTGAACAAGGAAAAAATCATCAACCTTGATTGATATATTAAGTGTTTGATTACTTGTATTTTAATCAAGAATAATACACCATTTAACTTGGTGGAATAAAATTAAAATGAAAACAATTTATATGTATTAGGGTCAAAATGGACCAAATTGCCCTTATTTTTTTGTTGATCCATTTTACATAACCTAAAGGGCAATTTGTTACATTTTTTTCACATAAATGATTTTATTTACCATTTTTTTCTAATATCAAGTGAAATGCACTTAATATTAGAAATTGACTTTAATGTGAATATGCAGAATAGACAACGAACTTTTAAACCAGGAAGAAATCAACAATTTTGATTGACATATTAATTGTTTGATTAATTGTATTTTAACAATGGGTAATACACCATTTCAATCGTTGGAATAAGTTGTGAATGAAAACAATTTAAATGCATCAAAGCCAAATTGGATCAAAATGCCCTTCATGTTAAAATGGACCACATTGTCCTTTATGTCAAATTGCAAAAAAAGAGTTGTTATCCAAATTGCTCTTTCTGTCAACATGTAACAAAAAAAATAGAATAAAATAAAATTTTGAAAAAGGGCAGAACAATAATTTACTCAATTTGCTATAAATTTAATAGATTACATGAAAAATATTACAACTTCGTCATTTTGAACCTGCATCATACTATACAAAGTAGTTTTTTCATGTCATGTACTGATCGAAAAAATCAATTTCATATTGAACCGAAAACGCCATATTATGATTAATTTCAAGAAGATACCTCCCAAACATATATTTCTGCAACAATAAAAAAAAAATATCAGAAATAAAATATTACTAAGATTATATCAAAGTCAAAAAACATACCAAATTATAAATAAGATGTGAATATGCTTCATCACAACTACTATACAACAGGTTGTCCAAAATCACAGCTTTTCGATTCTTAAAATCTTAAACAAACACAAAATAGTGATTGTTTGAACATGCAGGAAAAAACACCTATATATATATAAAAAAAAACTAATTTCATTAAGATAATTAAAACTTTTATATAAAATAATTAAAACCTTACCATATCAAATCCTTTTAAACATCTCCTATCTTCCGATACACCCAAACACTGAAGGACATTCTCTTTGAAATTTTTATACTCTTCTTCACTATTAGTTCCTTTGACGTGCATATATCCAGGATTCTACTTATACAAAAAAAATATCAAATCCATATTGAAACAAATAATAAAAAAAAAGTTAAAATTTGCCAAAATACATGTCTTGAAGAAGAAACATGACGGAGTATCTTTATTTCTAACTCTCTCATCATAGTTTAGAACATCAACAAAACAATCAATTGTTCCATAAAATAGATGTTCATGCGGATATAAGCTCTCAAACATATGACGTTCTCCACGTTGACCAGATATGCTAAGAAATAAGTTATCCCTACAAAATTAAAATTATAATATTAATATAAGTTAAACTTAAAATTACCTATATTCACAAAAAAACCCATTACATTGGATCTTCAACTAAACTGAATACCTAGTTAGATATTATGTTCTCTTCCTTTGTCAAAGTAGTATCAATAGGAACTGCACGAATCACATAAGGAGACCTCTTTACTGGAGGTAACATTTGATCTCTTTTTGGCCTTGATTTAGATGGCAATTGATTTAGATCTCTTTTACTCAAAGAACTTGTAACATGCGAATTTTTACCCCTTACACTAACTGGAGAATCAACAAACCCTTTAAATATTGATTTCTCTTGCATTTTATGACCTGAAGTTAAACAAGGCTTTTTTGGAGTATATAACTCAGACTCTATTCCCGAACCAAAGGATGGTATATCTTCATTCAACATCCTTTTTCCAATTTCCTTACCTATAATACAAAAAATAAAAATAGATTTAGAATTTGGTGTCCTTTTGCATTATCATAAATATAGAAAACAATTACCTTGATGATTGAAAGAGTCATCCTCAAAACAAATTTTCCTTCTTATTGAGCCAGAACTTGAAACATTATCAACATCACTCTTATGGAATTTAGAAAAAACTGAAACAATCTCTTGTAATTTCAATCTATACAATTGAAAATTCTTATGACTTCCATGCATTTGCAATGCCATTTCAACTTTCTTATTCAAATCATAAACAACCTACTGAATATCCGACTCACAATCCTGAAATTTTTTAAAATATAAATAAAATAAAAATTAATCCGAAATTTAAGAAAATATACAAATAAAAAATAAATCTTACGTATATCGATCCACTTTCAAAATGTTCATCACAATCTGCAACAACACCATAACCGAAACCACCATTTTCCAATTCCATGATTTCTCTAAACTTAAGTTGATCTGATGTCCAGAAATTAATTACAGGAAATCTTTGACAAATGGCATTTGCTTACATTGAATCCTGTCAACATATAACAACTACAAAAAACATCTTTAGTTAGAAAATATAATGATATGAATTTTACTTATTATATAAAGAAATCAAAAAAATTAAAAGAATATACCGTTAGAAATTCACATGGTCCATTAAAAAATGTCTTAATTTCATTTCTACTCCATACCACTTTCTCTTCCTTCAAACAATTCAAAACATATGCACACAATCTATTTTATCCAACTTAGATGACTTAGACAAGTGAGGAAGAATTTTGAAATTACAAGCTCCTTTTTTGTTACATGATCTGAAACATGTACAAACCAGAATAATGAAATTCACAATGAAAACCATATCTGCTTCACCTCTGTTATCTTCATCAACAAATCAGAAGGAGCTACTAATGACAATGGCTTCTTAAATTGGTCTTTCCAAATTTCAAACCAATTCTCATTACCTCGAACACCTAAACAACTTATTTGCTCATAACCCAATGGAAAACCTAGAACCCTATTCACATCTTCTCTTTTTACAGGAATATTTCCACCTACACTCTTAATAACCATCTCCTCATGATCAAAAGAATCCACAACAAAATAACATAATTTTGTTGGAATACTTTGAGTCTTCATATCAAGCAATGATCCAAAACCAATTCTTCTTACACAATCTTTTTGAATATCATTCATAGATTTCACAGCCCCATAAATAGAATTAACAGAAACACGAGCATACAAAGCTTTCACATTACCAACTTTACCATCTTTTTTTTTTTTTTTTTTGATTTTTTTATCAGATTCTCCTACAAACTTCTTAAGACTTCTTATAGTCGCATCTTCATAATCTGAATCACTAGAAAAATAATTACAACCTATAAAACATATCCAAAAATTACATTAACAATTAGATTAAAACTGCAAGAAGGTATTCAATCGGTATGTATTTAATTTGAAATTTCTTTAAAATCACTTCATAATAAAAATTAAACTTTAATAGGGTGTTTTAATGCAATAAAACTGCATCCTTATATTAATTGAATGTGGAATTAAAGAATATATTAATGAATACATACCTTCATCATTAATTCTGTGTTTTTTAAGCTTTAAAGAATTGCTAGAATGAATCTCAATTGCCTTATTCACATCTGATACCAAAAAAAAAAAAAAAAAAAAAAAAACCATTATATTATCTACTGAATTAACGACAAGTCAAAAAACAAATAACTTCATTGCTTTTTTTTTACGTTTCTAAGTACAAAACAAGTACCTTCATTGCTTTTTTTCACATTCATTGCTTTTTTTGACGTTTCTAAGTAAATTTCTTTAAATTTACTTCATAATAAAAATCAAACTTTAATGGGGTGTTTTAATGCAATAAAACTGCATCCTTATATTAATTGAATGTGGAATTAAAGAATATATTGATGAATACATACCTTCATTAACTTTTTTGCCCTTGCAAAGTTCATCATCAATTCTGTGTTTCTTCAGCTTCAAAGAATTGCTAGAATGAATCTCAATTGCCTTATTCACATCTGATACACTAAAAACGATTATATTATCTACTGAATTAAGGACAAGTCACAAAACAAGTACCTTCATTGCTTTTTTTCAAGTTTCTAAGTACGTCAACACTTGAAACACCTCCATCTTCGGGATCTTTCTTAATCTTCAATGATTTACCAGAATGTATCTCAATTGGATTCTTCAAATCTGAAACAAACTAACAGAAACTACATGAATCGATAAAACTAATAATTAAATATCTGAATGCTTGATGAATACGGATAAACATATGAACCCCCATCGAATTTTTGTTTCTGTATGAAATCTTCAACTGCATAATTTTCATCATCTTCAATTTCAATCAGATTATCAGCACAGTTCAAATTCGAATTCATGTTTCGAACTAATTCCTTTCGCAATCTGTTCTTTTTTTTCCTTCGCGAATTAAACTTTTTTTTTTATTTGAACGAGCATCCAATATGGCCTTAAACGCAAACATCGAATAAAAAACAAAACTGCAATCGATCATCTCTCATTTGAGTCAACCGAATGTCTATACATTAAAAACTAAATTGGTCCACTACATAGAGAAAGAAGTTACCAACTGAATACAAATTTCAAATTTGAATATCCATAATAACTGATGAATACATTCAAAAAATATATATTTAATATAAATTAAAAAATACATGTGTCAAAAAATGAGTGGTTCTCGCATTTTCGCATAATATATACATTTTCGAATGAACCTACTTACATATATATATATATATATATATATATATATATATATATATATATATATATATATATATATATATATATATATATATCTATATATATATATATATATATATATATATATATATATATATATATATATATATATATATATATACTAGTTTGTAACCCATGGGAACCACGGTTAGAAAATTAATCAAATTTTTATAGTAAAAATTCAAAATTATTAATAAGTTATTTTAAATAAATTATTAATTTAAGAGATATTTTTATTAGTTATGTGAAATTATAATCATTGATTCAAATAAATATATAAAATTAATTTTTAATATATATTTGATATTTTTTATTTTTTGAATTAATGAAAACAATAATTTAAAATATAAAATTTAAAATAGGATCACATTAATGAGGAGATCTAATAAATTTAAAATGGAAAACTAATAGATTGACAAATGACAACACATTAATTAAAATGTCTAATATGATGACACATGACAAAAGAGCTACTATTTTATCAGTATACACTAGTGGGGTACCCGCGCAATGCAGAGGTAACGATTAGTTTCATTTTAGTTCATTGTTTTAATGCTTCAATTAGTTTACTTCAACAAATTGTTTCTTTTTTGAAAAAATTAATGATGTAAGAAACTAAAATTATTATTAAATATGAGCATGGTTTGGTTTAGTTCTTGTTTAAATCCCAAATCTAATCGAAAATATTGGTTTATAGGTAGGGATGGGTCCATCTTGGATCCTAGGGTAGCCTGGGATACCTCTAAAAACAATTTCATAGTTTAAGTTTTTTCAGAAAATTTCATTTGTATTGCAATGAAAATATTGGTTTTTACATAATTTTTTTTAGAAAAGTTCAGTATTTGTTTACAACCAAAATCTAAATGAAAATATTGGTTTTTACATGATTTTTTAGAGGATACTTATTTACTTTTATACCGGCTTTGCCACTATTTTTAGGCTTAGATCCAAAGCGTTTAATGAGATTTTTTATGGTGGGATAAGTTTATAGATTTATTTTTATAAAAAAATAGATAATGCTAGAATTTATTACAAAACATAAAAAGTTTTAAGAAATTTATAAATAAAAAACAATCACATTTAAATAACTTTTTTATATAATTTAACCAATTAATTTGTTAAATATATTCACATGTTATCATTGTCATCTAAGATAACAGATAAAAATAATAATATATAAACATATTTAAATTTAACAATTTAAGTTATCAAATATGTAAAAAAAATTAGCTAAATAGAAACAAAACATAAAAATAATTACCCTATAATTCCCAAAATATAAAATCATATATCACACTACCAATTCGCCACAATGATGTTGTCTGTAATATTTTTATTGTAATAACTAGGTTATAACCCGTGGATACCACGGGTGAAAATGAAAAAAAAAAAAAAAAAAAAGTTATAAATAAATCATATGGCAATGATTGATCAATAATAAGAAATTTTTTATTAATTTGAAATCATAGATGTTTTTAAGTCATAATCTATAATGAAAAATGAATTTCATAAATCTAAATTGTGTATGACTATTCAAATATTTAGAAGTTAGGTTAGTAACATTTGTAGTCCGATGGTCTGCTTAATTATATATATAGACCAAAAGAATAACATGCGGATAAAATCTTGAATCAAGTATAATTATCATTTTTATGATAATGCAACCAAATAAAATCCCAAAATGTTAAAATCAAACCCAATAAAAATATTAGTTTATCATCTTATTGATATTAATATACACCTAAGAGTTGTTGGATTATACAATGTTCTCCAAGTAACTGGATTTAGTTTAAAACTTAATGGAAGTTACAAAAAATCAAACATCATGTAAATAATAAATAACAAAAATTAATAGCATTGAAATGGTGGGAAATTTAAAAAGAAATAAATGGAACACATAGCTTATCAACAGGCTGATAGAGTGAAATTTTGATCATACGGCTACACATTTGGTCATCTCTAAATAGGTAGGTTTTTTTCAAAGTAAAATACCTTATAAGAAAAGAAAAATCAAAAGTACAATGCTACAAACATAAAACAGAGAAAGTAGGATGTTATACAATTAGGAAGATCTTAAATTTCTTTGCATGCTTTAGCATCCTAGTTTAGATGGCTAATAGAATTTTATTTTGGATAAATTTTCCTAGGGTCAAAAGATTAGGAAGTTAAAATTTAAATGAAGAAATGTTCACTTATGATATTTTTGTTCAACAACCAAAGAATTATATAAGATATAGGAAATAACATTGTTCTTTCATTTTTTTTTGTTATAATTCAGAATCATGAAATTTTAAAATGATTTCTTATAAAGTAAACTTATAAATAAAATTGGCTTATCTTACAACTTCCAAACTACATTACATGATGAAAATGAAAAAAGAAACACCTCCCACCTAAGGAACAAAAATTAAGAAAAATGAAGAAATTTGAATCCTTCATTAATGATTTATTCTATTCCATCATGATAAAACAATCAACCTTTTTATTCCAATGGAATAACCCATTCCATTTCTTATCTGGTTTCACCAAACCAAACATTACCAAATAGTAAATATAAAGGGGTTCGTATTTAATTTTTTTTTAATAAACAACAATCGGCTCAAAGAAACTGGTCCAACATCTTAAGCTTTACACTTAGGCAATTTAAACTTTATTTTTTAAAATTATTTCCAAGAGTAATGGAGTCAAAACATGTGGTAGTTTATATCAACTAAGTGCAACTTCCTACATAATAATGTCTAGCAGATACTACAAATTATCACAAACATCATTTTTAGAAAATGTAACAAATTTGATTGATATGCAAACCCACATCAAGAAAGTGAAATTCTTTCATTTATGTATAACTTGAGATGTGCAACAAGTAATTATTGAATATAGGTGGGAAAATCAAGATTTAACTCATTTTTTGATGATACATGAGGAATAGGAGGAAAGCACAAACCTGTAGGTAATCAACATCAGCGGCATGTTTATATTATGTGACTTGCAATCCTTCTACAACTTTTTGAGCTTCATTTGGAGTTTATCTATCCAAATAACCATTAATATACATTTGAAGATGAGAGCGGATTTTGTCCATGACTTATTGGATTACATCAAAAATACACTAAGTCAATCAAAAATGTATTAAACTGGTAATCAATGCATAATCAAGTCCAAATTTAACCAGAAGAGATCATAGAAACTACCAAATATCTATCATGTAAAAAGCAATACAAAAGGCATTTTCATTGATGAAGTCCTCACAAAAGCTGATAATCGTATAGAAAAAAATGGAGGCATGAAAAGCTACATAAAATCTGTTTGAAAATCATGATTAAGAGAATGCAATCATATTAAGCATTTCATCAAACACATATGAGGTGTCATCATAAAATATTAGTTTCTGAAATTTACGTACTGCAAGCATATAAAAGCATTAAAGCAATAAACTTAAGCACAACATTTGTCCTATCTTCATATAAAATAATAATGGAAGAACAACAATAAGAAGAAAAAAAAACATTGAAATAAATTAGTCCAGTAGCCAATAATCCAATATGATACCAAAAACAACAGGCATAGCCTTAAAACCCTCCTGCAAAGACAAAAACATGTTGTTACTAATTTAGAGGGTACCAATATTCCACCCCTTTTAACCAACTATATAAAAACACATTGGTAGAACATGCTCTGCATTTCATATCAATCAGATAATTCAACACAACTATGAAAACAAAATGAAATAATTTTTGGAAGTTGACAAAGCAGGAAGAACATTTAATGAGGAATTACCGTCCAACAATCACTTCTTCTAGATTAACCTTCTGGTGAGATGATAATATATTATCATGATAATTTATATCTCGAGCAACCTGTACGGATAAAAAAATTGTCACATGATGAGTTCTCACAAAAAAAATCATTTAATATGAATCTAATGGAGTTTTCAATTCAGTGAAATTTTCTTTAAAATAATTACTAAAAACTCAATAAAAGCAGTTAAACCCTAAAAAAAATGAAATTATTGACTCTACTTTATTTAATGATAGAAACAAAGGAAATGTAGGTTTCTTTGTGACATTTTGTCAAACACCCGGTGAGCACTAAGGTTAAGAAACTTAGGAACATTTTTCATCATTTGTATATGCACTGTATTACCTAAAAGGAACTGAGTAAAGGCATTGCAAAAGTGTTTCACATAACTTCTAAATCTATGAATTCAAGAACCTACACGTATGAATAGTGAGAGCATCATATAGGTGACAGGATACACAATATCAATCATCATAGTCATTGCTCTGATAAAATATTTCCCTAAAATTGACGGTTTCGTCACCAACAACCACATTATCTATGATAAAAATCAACAATATTACAACAGATAGCAAGGGGTGAGGTTAGAAGACGATCGTGATAGCGATTAGATATAAGGTTTTAAGAGGGTTGCTATTTAAAAGATATAAAATGAATAAGATGAAGAAAAACAACTTATTGAGATGATGAAGAGGATTAGGGTTTAAGAGGAATAAATGGACAAAAACACAAATGAAAAGGATTACCTGATGATGAAATCAT